TGTCAGTCTTTGCAACTGGCAGCAAAATATCTGTGGGGAATGTTTTCATGCTGCCAAATTTCAGCAGTGTTCCCTGTCACAAGTCCTACGCATGGGTGAAGCTAACAAACAGTGGGTTAAGATAAGAGCTGCTGTTTCCATCCTGCCAAGACACTGGGCCAACTCATTTACAGAGTAATTCCAGCAGAGTCGGTGCACCTTTGATGCTGTCACTGGGATAAATTTAGTCTGCTATATCTAGAATAGGGATAATTTGCATTAATTTTGATTAGCAAGAATCTGTCTTCTTTACTGGAGTAATGCTGCTTTACATGGACCAGAAGTGCGATGTTCAGTTCATATATATATATTCCTTACCTGGAACCTGAGCAACTCCAAAATGCTGGAAATGCAGAGAACTGGCTGCTTGCTATCTTGTAAGAGGTGCAAATGATCTCATCTAATAAATTAGCTAAACAAAGACATTTACCATAAAACTCTTGTAATTTTATGTTTTCTCAAATATTAAAAAGGTCACAGCAGAAAATTTTAAATTCTTTTCCATGATCTGATAAACTTTACAAAAAAAAAAACCCAAAAACCCAAACCAGAAAACAACGTAAAAGTTTCATAAACATTTTTTCCCCAAAATCAATCTTAACTGATTTGTTGTTATACAATTTAAGTGTCTGTAGATAACTGGGGGGAAGAACCCCTATAGTTAAACACTGATGATTATCATATAATAATGATCCTTTAATGAAATCACCCAGCTAGTGTATTCAATTCCTTAAGTCAGGAAAAATGAACTAAATACTTTCATTAAAAACAGTGGGACAAAGTGCATCTACTATGTAAATCTACTAAGTCCCAGCTACTCTGAACATCAACACCACGATAGTAAGAATACTTTCTGAGGGTGCATGTAATCCTTTCTAGATCCACTGAGTTGAAGTATTTTATATGAAAAGAAACTGCCACTTACATTCAGTTTTAAATTGAATGAAAATATTTGCTACAGTTAATGGGCTTGTGTGCCCTCCAAGAAACTGAAATTGTATGTTTTAATTAAGTCTTTTGGTTTCCGTGGCTCACCAGTTTTAAGTACAGTGGAAATTCTGCCACGGGTTAAAATTTAATTTTTTTTTTCACTGAATCGGTTAAAAAAACTGAACATATATAGCAATTTTCAATCATCTTGATACTGATTTTATTTAAGTTTGTTGTCACTTAGTTTTAAAGTAGAATAGCTACATCAAAATCAGCTTCCAAGTGCTCTGAAAACCTGGACCAGGAACCGCAGTAGTGCTAACTGGTTGTTGTATTCAACACACTGAATGGAGCTGTCTACTCTGCTGATGCTTAAAAGCTGTCATTTCTTCAATTCTAGTTAGTCAACTTTATAAAATTCAGAACTCAAAGCATCTTATGAAGCCTATTGTCTGATACTATATTCACTTTAATTATTCCTGTTACTTAATACACCGTAAATAACTGGAAGTGAGTATGAGTACTAGGAAAATTACAGGGTTTTTGTTTTGCATATAACTCAGTTTTTAAAGAAATGTATTACCTATTGGATATTTAGGCATCTCAAAACTGTATCTCATTTCAGAAACCCAGGCAGCTATGGCTTGTAAACAAATACAGGTAACCGCTGCATAAATTCATTCTATTTGATGGAATACCCTATCTTCAAAACTGCACAAAAATATTTCACTTTTTGCAGTAATGAAATCTTAACCCACAACACATCTATGATGTATTAAAAGCTTCACTGTTCACGCTATGGTGAATCCTTCCTCGCAGCACATAAATGTTAAAAATGAAGAAGGTATGTCAGGTTTTCCATATAGAGGCTCTTTTGGAATTCAGTGATAAAGCTAAGTCAGGAAGAGGTGGAGCAGGAGACTAGTCACACTCATCTGATACTGGGACACTGAGAGAAGTTGACAAAACACGGTGGAGTTTACAGTGTTAACCCCTGCAGAGCCCCCAGTGCAGCTGTTCCTGAGGAGGGCACAGCTACTGTCAACCTAACTCCTGCAGAGGCTCTATTACAAAGAAATAAACAGCATTAAAAAAAAAAAAATTATCATTGCACAAGTGGGACCTGAATGACCAAGTAGCTGCTATGCAGATAATTTGTCACAAAGATGGTGCTTACAGAATGAAAGAATAAACAAGTGACAATGGCAGCAGTTGCCAACATCTGTGGTCACCTAGCAAGTGAGAGAGGGGCCCACAGGGAGGAGCTAAGCTCTGAAGACAACACATACTCAGAAATTTCTGGAGAAGCAGAGTGAGTAAACTCAAAGGATGACCAAAGCAAAATACAAAGACTAATTTCAAAACATATCTCTACTCATTCCACATGTGACAGAAATACACCCTATAGTTCTTGAGAATTCAGTTTTTACTGTTAACTCAGCATGCCTAAGAACATTCTCAGATGTCCCATGGGAAAGTAATAGAGAAGTAAGAAGTGAAAGAGTATCATACTTAGAAACCCTGTGATAAATCTGATATGATACCATGTATGTGTCATATAAGCAAATGGTGATGGGAGGTGCAGCATTAACTGTAATGGGGTCATCAGAGAGAGATAAAGAGGAAAATAAGAGTCAGGCAGATGTGAAAAACAAGGGTTTTTTAAAAAAAGCAGGGGGAAATGTATGTAAGTGTTTATGTCTGGGCAGGAGTGCTTAAGGAGTAACACTGGACCAAGGGAAGGCAATAAATTTTAAAACTGGAAATGGGCTCACAGCACTCAAATTGTGCAGAATTAAGCATGAGTGGGTAATAATTGGGTGGTATGAGTTAAAGGTCTTTTTTTTTTTTTTTTTTTTTTTTTTTTAGCAAGTTCATCCTGCAGAGGGAATGTGTTTAGAAAACCAAAACCTGAGCCTTATGATGGGGGTGACATCGGTGGGCCCAGGAGGCTGGGCATCTGCTCTTCCTTTGAGTTCACTTGCCAGGGGTGGCAAACTCCTTGCTGTGTGTTCCCTCTCACAGGACCGGGGACAAACAATGCTACTGTAGAAAGAAAAGAACCACCACTCTTCCAACTGACCTACTCTTGCTTTCTTATTTGTACTTTTTTAATCATCCAAGAGGAGGGTTACATTCAATCCTACTGTATATCATTTATTCTTGTGATTTAGTCATGGCTTCTTTTACATTATATTGCACTGAATTAACTACACTATAAAATGGAACTGGTATCAATTATAAAAATAACCACTGGCCAAACTGGTCAATGATTGCACCACAAAGACATAAATGATAGGGTTGGAAGGGGCCTGTTTTTCAGCCCAGCTCCAGTATCAAGCAGGATTTTCTTCTCTACTAATGTGAAAAGCATTTTATCTGAGCTGTATCATTATGTTATAAACAACAGCAACTTAGCAACTGCATAAGTAAAGTATATTCTGAAACCTATTTGCCTGCACTGCTGCATTTTTTCCCCTCACATCTAACCTGGGCAATCTAGTTTTACTTTTCTGTATATCCAGCCAACAAGTCTTCTGTTAATCCCTATGGTATGTATATAAGCTAGTAAGCCTAAAAAATGTCATGTTACCCTGGCTGACAAGTAACAGCAGCGTGACACTTCATTCTCTCGGGCTTGAGAGTTCAGAACGTGTTCCCCTTGAGGTACAATTAATTGCAGGTATGCTCTTTTCCAGAAATAGCAACCATTCATTATTTAAAGTTTTAAGAATTAATTCATCAGTAGCATGACACTTTCAAAAAGCACCTTTTAAATCCTGATGAGTAGCTGACAGTCTACTAAGTCATGGTTTAAGCACATACGCAACACTTTTGGCCAAGCTTTTCAGTCTTGATCTGAAGCAAACCTGTGCCATCCAGCAAAGCTCTATGCAGTGCTCAGCCCTCCCCTATACAGTACCACTGGGTTTCAGTCCCTGTAGGAATTAAGAGATCCTGCGGGACGTCTGGAAGACCTGATGAACATCAGAGTCTTAGGCCTGTTTAGAGACTCACCTCATTGGCAGCAGCTTTATTAGCTATGCGTGGTTTATAATGATTTTGCAGCTTGTGAAAACACATACTCAAAGGTTAGATAATCTCGATAAGAGCTATTTCACATATAGACGATAACATAACACAGAGACAAATAATTTATTGTCTAAACAAAAAAAACTGCAGAGCAAGAGCTAGTGCCACAGCTGGATAAAGGTTTTGGATTCTTTAAGTCAAATAAAAGAATCAGAGTGTGGAATGGTCATGCTTGAAACTGTTAACCAACCTGCTCTGCAACTTAAATGCTGCATTATGAATGAAAACGTCTGAAAAAAACCTGACTGCAGCAATGGACTGTAATAGAACTAAGCAACACTTCATTTTTTCTCATTAATTAAAGTTCATTTTATGCATTTTTCTAAAATAATCTTTGCCACCAAGTGCTCTTAACTTTTTGTACAGTGTTGTAATAAGTTTTTCTTAAGTACTTCATGTAAATTTTTATCTAGGTAAAACTACCTTCAATGTATGACATGCAAAGAGATTGGCTTTTGGCCAAGTTATCAGAATCTAAAAGTGCTTCTACACTAATACCTTTCCTACTTTGTTGTTTCCCCAGTGAATTTATGACGGTTAAAGTCCTTCTAAAGTTTTGAAGCAGCAAAGACTCGATGCCATAGTTTGTAACCCAGAGTTATCCATAGCACATACACAATTCTGTCTGTGGACTGTGTATCAAATAGGAATGCTGGAATTTTCTGCCATTCAGGAGTTTTACAATATTCATAATGAATTGTTAAATACAAACCAAGAAGTGCAGACCCTGCCTAAGAAAGCTAAACTGCAGATACAACAACTCAACACAAACTGAGTAACCATTTTCAGTGTTTCTCTGGCATTTATTCCATAAACACCTGCTTAATTTGTAATTAAGGGATTTTTCATTGTTGTTTATTTGTTATGGAATACAGCTTCAGAACCTCTAAATATAAGAGATATTATTCTGAAAAAAAGCAGCTCTTGGTTTTGGTTGATGATATCAGCTAAAAACACACTTCGAAGGTAGTAACTTTAGTTTATGAGTGTAAGCAGTTTCCATATAAACAACAGAACCACCACAGTACAAAATTCAGTATGTAATAAATTATCAACCTCCTGTGCAAAAACTCTTTTAAGAAATTATCTGTTGTAAAGGCACAGAGAACGTACACACATCCATTAATTGCGGGTGACATGCAAATGCTCTTGAGAACTGTCTTTTCAACTTTTAAAAAAAGGAAACAGAATGGAATCCATAATACCACCGCCAAATGAGGCTCACATCGTAAAGCCTTTTCACAGCACCCAAACAATCTCCAAATTCAAAGTAAAATGCTCAAACTTTCCTTCCTAGCTGGTATTACAAGCTCGTTCACCTTTGCAAGCAGCACGAGCACCTGTGTGCTTCGTAGTAATTTTTAAACGCTGATTGTTTAGGCTGTATGGCCCATAAAAATGCACCCTCAAAGCTACGTATTCTTGTGTCAGGTTAAAAATAAAGCCCATGCTGATGAACGAGAGCTGCTGATGGCACTTGCAGGGAATGAACAGCCTCTCCCATGTCCCCGGAGAACCCGAGCGCAGCCGACCACGCCGTGACAAACCTGCGTGCTCCCGCAGCCCCTGTAGCTTAAGCAGTAAATCTGAAACCCAGGGACTGAACTGAGCTGGATCGAACAGCCCTCTCCCCTCCGAGCACAGCCTCTCACTTCTTGAAACTGGCTGTAAACAGGGAAAGGGAGGGGCCTACCGCCTGCCAAGCCAAGCAGAAACTTGTGAGTAACTTATAGAGGAAAAACAAGTGCAGCGCAGGCGGCGCGCAGAGCCGCACGCTGCCCGGGCGCTGCCGAGAGGCGAGCACCATGTTTTCAAAGAGAAACAAGACCTGGCTTTGCCGCCGGCCTCCTCCCTCGGAAACGCCGCTTAGCCAAGGCCTGTGGGTCCGGCAGCGCGGGGGAATGTAAAACGGGAACCAGAGGTAAGAGGCTTTGCAGCAGCGCTGCTGGGGCCACGGGACACGCAGGCTGGAGGGGGAGCGGCGGCCGCAGGACCGCCTGCCTTCTGCGGGCTGTGTTCCGATTTCGGTTTTCGATGTGACAAAAGTGTAAAAGCAGTCAGGACCAGGGGAAGCATTAGGGACGGCTGAGTCAGGCCACAGTAAAAAAGAGGACGGCAGCATTCACTTATGCAACAGTCAACCTGGGGCCGAAAAACTACTTTTGACTGGAGAAGGGGTTGGTTTAGATGGATCGAGTAAAACTGCTGCATCCGAAGCATCATAAGGACTTACCCAGACATGGTCTGTGAAGACAAAATTGCCTTTAAAATGACAAAAGACACTGCTGGGTAAGAAAGGCTGAACTGGGCCTGTATAGTATAGTAAACAGGTTCAAGTGCCTTCACAGGTAAGAGACAATTAAAATTGGGTGGTTTCTATGGTAGTGGCAAAAATATCTCGCCTGGTAATTTCGAAGTCATCGACAGAAAATATTTCTTCAGAAAATATTTTTATTTTGCATTGTATTTTTTCCCATTTTGGAGATAAATTTTGTAATTTCATAAGATTACTGTTTCACACAATGAATTGCTCACCATTTCTATCATTAAAATAGAATGGTCTTATTTAACTGCAGTTAGAGGACAAAAAGAAAAAGGGGTAGTTACTAAAAACTTGTGAAACCAGATGTGCCCCTGCTCTGTAAAATATAAAGTGCGGTAGCAAAGACTGCTGATCTTCTGAGACAATATACAGGTGAGTATTCTGTGGCTGATGTAATTCAGTCTGGAGTAATCAAAGCTACATGCTTAAGGATAAACCTACATAATGGAATTACGTGATGTATCCATGCCTGTGCTTAGTCACCCTTGCACTCACCATAATGCATATATTTGCAATATCTAGTTCCAGTCTGCTGCTTTGGTTGAATCGAGTCGTAACAGTTCAATGAGATGTAATTTTGGTTGCCTTCAACTGTGCAAAACAGCTTTGCTTTTTCTTATTTAAAAACTTCAAACAACAGATGCTTCCTGAGAATGAACTAGGTTGTTTTCAGTGCTCAAAAATAGTACGAGCATTGAAAGACAACATTAAAACATTATACTTTCTACTTATATGTAATACTAAAGAACTGATCTGAGAAAACAAAGTACTTTTTTTTTTTTTTCACAAAGGTGAAAGCAAGTTCTGAAAACAACAGAACTGCATCTTGTGTTGCTGCCACAGAAGCCACTTCTCTGAGGAAATCCAACATATGACAATGGAATAAAAATTTGTTTGCCCAGCTAAAACAATTGTATTTTTAGCCTGTTTTCTGGCACAGGCTATGGTATTTAGAAAAAAATGCACACAGAAAATAACTGCAATAGGAAATAAGAAATGGAAGCTGACATGATTCTGGAACAAATTCTTTACTATGGCTGAAGTGTCAAAGGATTAGCACTAGAGAGATGCAACCACATATCCGTATGCTTACAAAACCCATACTGTATAATTTAGCCATATGGTTCATGGAGTATAGCATGTCGTCTAGTAACATTCATTTTAATTGCACAATGTTTATTGTGGATTTGATTAAATCTTGTTCTCTCTCTGGAAAGAATGCAGGTACGTGTACTTGTACTTTCCTATATGTGCTAAATGGGAAGCACACAAAACAGCGCTGAGTATCTGACAGAGTACACGTGATATGGGAAATCACCTGCTACATAAATTCTACACTGTCCCAGAAATGGGCTGGCAGGAACAATAGCCATGATTTTAAGGCTGTGGATGTTTGGAAGTTGTACTTTAGAGATTATTTCTTATTTCTGCATTTTGGAAAGAGCCTTTTCATGATTGCTTTGAAGTTCACTGATTTCAGTTAAATGTTATCTCTACTGATGATAAAGCAAAGATAGCTGGACAACGACTGCTGATACTAGCATACTTTTTAAAGAATTCAAGCTATTTTGAGAGGAAATGATAGCCAATTCTTGCCTTTTGGAAAGTCAGGCTGCCCTGATATTAGGTTCCCTAGACTACAGAGGTCCATTGTTTTTTCAGAACTAAGTGGGTTATAGTTTGGAAGTCCGAATACAAACTGACCCTATTGAAAAAAAACCCAAACCACCTTCACCTAATTTTCCAGTTCCTTCTAGTCTTTCTCAATTTTATCAGTGATCCAGTATACATCTATGATGCTGCCTTGGATGTGCCTCCTAAGAAACTATCTTTTCAGAGAAAGCTTATTTAACACCTTGGAGACCTCTAGTCTCCATCTTACTGCTAAGATTTGTGCTTCAGCTTATATCCTTGAATTTTTCAGCAACTGCCTTTACATATTATTAGCTATATAAAAGGTAATTTTAAGAACCATTGTACTAATTTTCATGTATATTACATTGGTACTTATTTTAAAGATGTAGACTTTACTTCTGTTAAGTGCCCTGATATTAACTCATTTGCCACTAATTTCATTTAAATTAGAACTTCAGAACATTTACTAGTCTCATGAAATTGTGAATAACAGATGACTTTCTTCTAGACTTAACAAGATCAAAAGGCATTTCAGTCACTGACTAAATTTATCAGTTGTGAAGTGTTTAATCTGTCTTTAAAATGTTCTCTTCATACTACATTGCATTTCACTTACAATATAATATTTCAACAATACTTCCATTATTTGTCTCTCTACAGAAAAGCTGGTAACCAGCAGGAAAGATACAAAAGCTAAAATCACTATGTGGAGCTGTGAAACCTTGAACAACAGTACTGAGAACAGAGAAGACCAGCATCTCTGCCATGACTTCCACCTTGTGCTTTCCATCTTCTCCCTACTCTACCTCATTATATGTTTCCCAATTGGCCTTTGTTACAATGGCTTGCTGGTCCTAGTTAATCTCTATAACAAAGCTACTATGACTATGCCAGATGTTTATTTTGTCAACATTGCCATTGCTGGTCTCATCATCAACGCTCTGGCACCAATGTACCTTCTAGGTCTTGCCAATACAAAATGGGCCATCTGGAATTCTAACAATGAAGTTTATATTACCTTGCTTATTTTATTCAATGTCTCATCTTTAGTTACCATGTACTCCACTACGTTACTCAGTCTGGACTACTACATTGAACGTGCTCTACCTAGAACTTACATGTCAAGTGTGTACAACACCAAACATGTTTGTGGATTCATATGGGGTGGTGCCATGCTTACAAGTTTTTCATCTCTCCTGTTCTACGTCTGCAATCACGTATCCACTAAAATAATTGAATGTTCCAAGATGCAGAACAAAGAAGCAGCAGATGCCATTATGGTCTTTATCGGGTATGTTGTACCAGCTGTTGCTGTACTTTATGCACTTACATTAATCTTACGAATACGCAAAGAGGCCACACCACTGGATCAAGACACTGGACGATTAGATCCATCGGTGCACAGGCTTTTGATAGCCACAGTCTGTACCCAGTTCACGTTATGGACACCCTATTATGTGATTCTCTTGGTAAGCACATTTACTAATGCACAAGGAAGAATTGCAGATGAAAATTACAGTCGAATATTACATTTTAGCAAGATTTTATCAAAATCCTTGGCTTTCTCAAGCAGCTTTGTAATGCCTCTGCTCTACAGATACATTAACAAAAACTTTCCCAACAAATTACGACGTTTGCTTAAAAAGATACACTGCGGGAATCAGGGGTGTTCTCATGAACGCACAGTAGTACAGCAAGTTATGACGTAGGTATGAAAAAAACCTTTGGTGCTCTGTTACTGCAGTACTTCATGTACCAGTACTGGGACTGTGATATTGCTGCTGGCACTCAATGGGAGTCCCAACCAAGAGGCTAGAAGGAGCTTTCCATTACAGTTAAATGAAACAGTCTTAATTTTCAAATAGTTAATTGTTTGCTGAAATCTTGTGAGACTCTGGCCTATGTGCTGTGATACCTGTGACATCTAATACTTTCAGTGCACTGAAGTGGTTACAAAGCATAAAGTCTGTCTTCATGGCTCTAGTATTTCTGTCTGAAGAAGTCACTAAGCAGTTTATTGAAGTCTTGACTGAAGACACAGCACCTTGTATCTTGTATAGAAAAAGGTCTTACCTTATTTTCTGTACAAAGAAGTAATAGTGCTATCCTTGATGAAGTAAATAGCATTTTTCAATTAAGATGATATAGATGATCTTTACTAAAGATCATATTATCCAATTACACATGTCCAAATAGTAAATGTTAATTATAAATTATTTAATTTTTTTCCATCACGGAATCCCCTCTAAAAGAAGCCTAATTTACCATTTTCAGAAATTTTCTCATACAAACTAACCTAAGTTTTAACATTTATGGTAAATTGATTTTTTTTTCCTAGATATAACAATTAACAAAAACGTGTTTTATTTTTCCACTGCTTTATTTGCATCCTAAAACATTTCAAGAACTCAGAAATATTTATTAACTAATTCTAAGGGAACTGAGAGATGTTTGTTCCGCATATTAAAATGAAGGACACAGTGGTTTACAAAGTTAAATCAAAATTTATGTCTGGCTAAGTGTTATGGTCCACATATGTTCATGTAACAAGTAATTATCTTAAAAATAAATATGTTTATGATTAACATTTTGTATTTTCAAGGGATATGTTTGCAACAAATAAATAAAAATCTCTTTAATCTAGGGCATCACTGGAGGTTTGGAAACCATACAGAATCCCTCAATGCATACAAAATTTTAAAATGGGAGTAATATACAGGAATTCCAGTCAGCATCAGCTTTTTGCTGACCTCTCAGAAATGGAGTGCCTCCCAATGTGATTCTTGAATATACAGTGAAAGTACAGTTTCCGTATTTCACAGTGGGGATGAAAAATATCCAATCCAGATTGCTGATTTTTACTGAGTATGTGAAATACACAAGAAACACAAAGATGCTGCAGGAAGCAAATTAACAGTTACCCACAACAGCAAACTATGAAACATTGATCCAAGAAGTACCTGTTCCTATGCTGCTGTTGTATTATTAATGACAGAGGGGGGTAGAAGTTAAACTGATATTCTCCCACTGGTTTTGGGGCAGCAAGACAGATCTTTGTCACTCATCCTGCAACACAGCAGAATCATTTCATTGCTTAATCTGTTACAACTCAAATTCCACATGATTTTATTAAAAAAAAAGTGGCTTTTCAGGCCTCTGGTATAGAAAAAACATGTAACAAAACCAGGGTTGAACCTTTTGCATTGCTTATAGAACAGTCTCATAATGCTAATTGGTCCCAATTTGTCAGCACAGACATACAGACAAGTTCTGAGTGGGAAGCAGGTGAGGAACATCCTTTTCAGATCTTTTTCCCTTTCTCTTCAACATTATTCAAGTAATTTCTTATAGCAATCTTTGCTTATCTTCTTCATATACAAGCATCCCTAAGTTATCAACATCCTGGTAGAAGACTCTCCATTAATCTTTCTCTACTTCTATGGCATTTTCGCCACACAAACTATCCAGCACAACCGCATCAATTTACTTAATAGTTTCAGCCCGCTGATGAAAACCATGTTAAGGAATTAAGCCTTTCGTTATCATCGTGTCCGACTCACACACTAATTTATAGTGCCTCTGTGCTGACATGATACTGACTGCTTTGGTTGGCTGTTTTCTGCTTGAGAGGTTTTCTATGAATTTCTACACGTCTTGAGCAGTCAAGCTAACTTCCACACTTAAGAAATAAATCTTTCTGTCAAGCAGATAGGCTCCTCCTCTTCCCATCTGAGGAAAATGAGGTTTCCCAATGCACCACATTAAATCTCTCATGTAAAATCTGTTAAAGAAATTCTGTCCCATTATGCAGGAAAAATTCCAGCAGGGAGGAACTGGCTTATCTGGTGTGAATAAAGGCTTCCACAACTGGGACACTGCCAGAACGTTGTGGCTGAACAGGCAGCATTAAATGCAATTTTAAGTTCCATGTTGCTTCCTTACTTCTATTTCCCCCTTCTCCTAAGACATCTTACTTTGTCTGTAACAGGACTGTTGCATTTATTTCTGTTCCTTTCTCTCCGTGTTAAATTCCTGGTTTCAGATCATGGCTCAAATTTCTCTTTTTCCTTTTCTCTCCTCTTTCTCACTTCTCTACACTGTTCATTTAATTTTCATTTTGCTCCTCTATTTCCATCCATGCTTGGTCTTGTATACTTGGTACCATTCACCACTCACATTTACTTCATTAGACTGACTCCTTTACAATGACCCAAACCTTATACAATGACTTGACATTACAAATGGATTTATGTAGTAAAATGGAAACTGCTATTTAAGAGATGGAGAAAGAACAAGTTTTTATATAATTTATCCTAATTTTTCCTAATATTTTTCATTGCAGCAGAGTTAAGTATGTTTGTGTCTATCCTTGATAATATACTGTGATGGCAATCATATAGACAACCAACTTCCATAATTTAATGAACAAGACTGATGCCTTTTTTAAGAGTTAATTTGATATATTAGTTACCTCAAAGAAATGGTGCCATGGAGCTGTCTGACTGCTATCCTCTTAAAATTCTTTATTGCAGCACCTTCACATGGTATCTCTTAAAAAGCAGTATCCCAGAAAGCGAGAACTTTGCAATATTTATATAAAGAACAGTAGATGAGCATATGCTGTAAAACACTTAAGGAGATACATGGTATCATAAATATGGAAAAACTTTAATGGACAAATCTTTAATATACAAAGTTCTCAAGAATGAGGCCTTTACATTTCAAATACCTGAAGGTTTCTGATGACTGTAAATAGGGACTTATCTATTTCACATTTAAATAAATATGAATAAAATGCTGTGTATATACAACACAAAAATCAGCCTACTGATGTAAAAAGAATTTACAAAGAATTTATTAAATTATTTCTTGAAGTGTATCATTTAAATGTAAACCTCTAAACAGTAAGGTGTACTGTATGTTTCTGTCTGTATATACTGTATACTAGAAAGTGAGCACTAGTGAAGTGCCATTATTAACAGTGTTATTTTCTCACAAAATTGAGTTGATCTATGGCATATAGCCCTCTTGCTTAACCACCAGTTAAGTCAAATCAGTGAACTAACAAAAATGTTGCGCTCTGTTTCTGCTTATAAACATAGCTAGCTCAAGCCAGGTCCTTGCTGACTGACCTAGTAGAGATACTAGTTTCAAAAGCTTCCATTTGAGAATCAAATTGAGTTGGTCTCTGAAGACAATTTCAATTAATGAAAGTGGTCAACCACTAGAACATTTCTAGTTCAACTAAAATGAAGAGATGTGGTCTCCAATGTTATGTCAAAATACTATAGAAATGGACTTTCTGCAAAGCTTCACAAAGGATCTATTGACTCATAAAACATTCTCAATAAAAAGCATTAAAGTGTATCTGGTCACTAAGATGTGTGATTTTTTGGGGGGGGCCTTCTTGATAAAAACCTGTTCTAGACAAGGTTAAACCTGTGTTGCTTCACTGAATCAAAACATGACAAATTGCATGATTTGGATGTCAAATCAGACATGTAAGTTATCAGATTTTCCAGGCCATAATCCTGACATCATTAAAATCGCATTATTCATCAGCATGAAGTTAGCTGGGAATGAAAGCAAAAAGGCACATCCCCTCAACTTTTTTCCACCATAAAGATTCCTGCAATAGGATACAGTAACATCACACCACAGAACTACAAAGCTGGTGATTAATGCATATGTCACCCTGTCCTTGTCACTTCCTCTCCATTGTGCTGCCACAAATGAGATCTCGGAAATCAGCTCCCTGCAGAAATTCCCTTGGTTCCCAGAACAACATAATATGGCAACTCATACCTTTGATATCCCAAAGAAAATTTAGCTTTAAGAATATAATGTACCTCACACTACATTTGTTGCAGTAACCACTACATATAACCAAAAGATCACTCACTATGGATCAGTTAGTTTACCCCACATACATAAAAATATTTTCCTGACTATACTTTCACAATGATTAATTTGTTCCCTTTAAATTTTCTGTAAAGTGTAGGAAGACAGCAAGTAAAAGCAAACTCTAAAATGGTTATTGGTGAATTCCTTAAAGAAAAAAACAGTCCAAGGCACTTCTGAGTGTTAACTCTCAGGGAGAAATAAAATGGCAACTATGAAAATGGAAGTTGCAGTATTACACCATTTCGTGGAAGCCTAGTATCTGACAAGATGCCCTTACTTCCATACAATGGTTTAAAGAGTATTTTCTGTTACTCTAACTGGAGAGGCAGCATCTCTAAACAGTGATTTTCTGATGCTTCATTCCTCAGAGGTTTAAGATATAACCATCATACAGAGACAGACTGTTTCTAATCTGTATTAGTAAAACCCTGGTTAATAAACAGGAAGTTAACAAGTCTACAGGTTTGCAAAGGGTGAACTTCTACATAAATGCAAGTAAAAAGAGTTGATCGGGTACAACCCTGTCAATAGGTTTACACTAGTACAAACCAGGCCAACGAAAACCAGGCATCGGAATCTACCCTTTTCTATTAAAGAGATTTCACTGAAGACAACCATATTTTGGAGCAGTCGCAGAACTGCCATATTATAACTATCATATTGTAGCAAAATAGCCCCCCAAGGCTGCCAAGAAAATAGGACACCGCTATCAGAAAACTCAAAGGGAAGTAACACTTTGTTTAGAAAAACCTAAGATTCAATTAAATTGTTTTTGTTCTATGGACACATACACAGCTGGAAACCCATTTATCATTGTACATTAAAAATTAAAGTAAGACAGTGCTGAGGCTGGAGACCTTCTCAGGAGCTTTACTGCAGCAGCACAGAAACCAAAAGCAGAACCTGGCCAAGCGCTGCTCTCAGATCCACTGTTAGCTGAGTGAGTTAGTTGAGAAGTACTGACTTCTGCCTGAGTTTCTGCAGCTGTAAAGTGCTCAGTGCACTGATGAATCTGAAACATATGCTGTAAGATTAATTCTTGCAGCTTCTTAGTAAGCGAAACCTTGTGTATTTCTTAACTATCTCATGCAATACTTTTTCCAAGTGAAAGCAATCTAAACATACAAAACCAGCTGTCCAGACTGCCATGGCAACAAATTTGAAGTGTGAAATGTTTCCCCTGTTGTGTTTCCTGTACCTTTCCATTATATATCAAAACACTTTGACTTGGCTAAATACATTCTTTTTCCATCAAGAGAGAAGAGGATTTATTCTCTACCTTGTCATTCCACTTTCTTCCCACCAACTCCTTACCTTGGAAGTCCATGTGATTTCCCTGTGTTCCTTCCCTCTAAAGAACTGGCACTTTTAATCACACACACAAAAATGGTCAAAATTATTCAGTCTACAGCAGACAACTGTCATATTATTACAAACCATGACAGTAAAATGTTCTTTAAACACCAGATTCTTATCAGAGTATTTGTAAGTCAAATATACAAATATATTAAAAAACCAACTTCCTACCAAAAGTTCTTTAAAACAAAAATTTATAACCAGAAAGAGAAACCATTTTGTCTAGATTAAAAGTAATTGATGATGCATTATACAGAAAGACAAATAAGCATCAACATAAACACTCCGAATTCAGAGATCTGGAGAGAGGACCAATAAGAAAAGA